ATGCCGGTGACGTCATAAGTGACGTCACTGATGACGTCATCAGCGATGATGACGATGACGATGCCGGTGACGTCATCAGTGACGTCACTGATGATGTCATCAGTGACGATGACGTCATCGCATAGTTCCTCCTTCCCCTCTTTTCTCGTCGTGGCCGGAGGCGAGCCAGTTACCGTCACTACCTGCCAAGGTTCCTAGACGGGCAATCCCATCGAGGCGTTAGCAACATCCACCAGGTGCTCTTTGCTAATCGTTTAATTCGTTTTAAAATTTCTTTTCGTGACTTTTTTAACATGATATTGGTGTGTTCGATGTGATACTCCTTATTTGAACACATATCGACCAAGAAATGAGTGCCGAAATTTCGTTGTAGTATCCCTTTAAGTCACAACCGATATTTTTCTGTAAACCTCGTGTGAGTTTGTTGCACTCATTATGCGGTGTGAATAAATTTTGGCAAGATTTCCTACCTGCCCACAGATGCATGAACTGTTACCATTTTTTAAGTAGTGAACGTAGTGCTAAGCTTTCTTTATTTTGGAAAGAGGCGTTGGGACATTTATTATGGAACAATCACTTAACAGTCAGAAAGTGGGGAGAGCGAGCAAGCTTTCTCAACTTTGTCTCTCTTTTCTCTAGCATTGCCCTTAGTTTCAAGTTTCAGTAGACATACCTACTAGTAGGTATGTACAAACTGCTCTAAAGCAGGTAAAAGTCTGGGAAGTCAGAATGGTGCGAATTCCGTGTTCTGTGCTTTTCGCAAGGTGACAGGGAAGTGCTCTTGCGAGGTATGCGGAATATGCAGACGATTTTGTTATGCCCGTCGTTTGTGTGTCTCTTGCATTTCATTTCATTTATTTCGGCTCAGGGGAGACGAGGGTGCGGCAGATAGGACGAAGGCCCTTACCGGATAAACGGCAATACTCAAACTAATAAAAAAAACCGGGGGGGGGGGGGGGTGAAATAAGGTGATTATACAAAGGCGCAATCACAAGCCAAGATTTGCGATAACATTGCGTGTGGTCCGGTGGGCCGTGTGGTTGTATTTCACCCTGCTCTTTGTAACACAGTGTCATGATGAAGAGCTGGAACGTTTACGGTTTGTGCTGGGGTCACGGGGATCATGGCCTCCGAAACCGAAACCAGATCAGCGAGATAACTCCGAAATGACGGAAGCAATAAGTTGTCGAAAGCCTGTTTTTAGGGTTTTGAACCTAGTAAACAAGGCAAATATAATTAAACTTCGGCGTTTTTATGCAGGAGGACTTATGTAACAAAACAATACGTTCTCTTTCCCAAACGAAAAGAAAGTAGCACTTAGTCCGCCGTATATGGCAGCAACTTATTCGCTGCAAAACCTATGCTGGCAACGTAAGCGGTTTTCTAATGGCCGCCACCATGGTGAGCCGCGTTCCCTTTCCCTCTTCTCCTCCCCCCCCCCCCTCCCCCCCGTGGTGGCAGCGGACGACGGGCGTGGGATTTCTACTTCACAACTGTTGTTCACCGTACCGGCAAATTCCATCTTCCTTCGAAAGCGAAATTTTGGACCGACTAAAAGAATTGATATTCATCCCGTACGACACGCCCTTCTCGTGGCTGAAGACATCGCTCGCTCAAACGTTAAGCACGAAGTGCGTAAATCGAGTTGAATACGCAGGCGTACGGTTTATTTACTTGGTGCGAATGCGGCCAATGCATGGTGCTACCCGACTTCAAGCCGGGAGTATGTACTGGAGCGAAATCGGCAGCAAACTTTCCGACATACAGTCGACCGGGTGAATTACTACGACCGAAAGAGTTCCTTCAGTAGCTGAGTGGGAAGACGTCCGCTTCACACGTAGCGGGCACGGGTTCAATCCCTAGTGTGGACGTAACATTTTTTTTCAAACATTTTCCGATGTTTACATTTCTTTTTTTACAATTATCATTGAAAAAAACAATTGTTGTGGACGATACGTCGCTGAACTAATTGGTATGGGATGCCAGTTTTGACACCTCTGCCGCACAATGCCACTTTCAGATCTAAGGCAGCTAGCTCTTCACGCATCATCTTGAGAGTATTCTTTTCGGAGCTGATCACGGGAATTCCCCACGGGCACCCACTACTAATTGCCAACACTTAAATGTACAAAAAAACTCATCTTGAACTATAGAACAGCGAGCGGAACAAACATAACTGAAAAGGAATCGCACGGCGAACGAATCCCGAACGCATTTCGTCCACTGCACCCAAAAAAAAAAAAAAAAAAAAAAAAACAATTGCACGGTTGGGTGTAGTTACCCGACTTCCGCCACCCGCTCTCTCCACACCACATCTCCGTGCGGTGTGTGAGTTTCGGTTTCCGTTTCGAGCAATTGCGTTCTTTTGGCTTGATTAAAAAAATATGTCACTCTGCAGAAAACTTTTAAATGGGTAGTATTCCGACACCATAATGAATCACCTGGCAAAAAATGAAACTAAATATATTGGGGGGTGTCAGTATTCCTTTAAGGCCATAACGCACGCAGAAAATAATAATAAGAAAAAAAAATGTGCCGGATATTTTAAGAAAGTTGTGTCAGCTGAAACTTGTTCCAATCGTATTCGTGATCTTTTTATGCCATTAAAGGCCACATGTGTGTGTTTTTATTACTAGTGTGGATTTATCTTCGCATGTTGACTTCCGCTCGATTTTGCAGTTGTTTTCCAGGAGCTTCATAATGTTTGGATGGCGTTTGCTACTCATGTACCAAAACTTTTATTTATTTTTGTCTTGAGCGAAAAAGAGGGGGGGGGGGGGGGGATAAAAGCAAAATAACAAAAACAAAAACACTAGCCATATAGACCGACTTCAACCAGACAAGTAATTTTCACTGTTTATCCTCTCGGAATAAGAAACACCTATCGACAGATTTTTTCCCAATAAAGGAAGGATATATAAACAAACTAAATCAAAGCGGAGGATACACTAGAAATGTACTTTGATATGTCTAAGTATTTAGAGCTAGACGTTATATACAAGCAATAACAAAATTCGTTTATTAATACCTTTGAAGTTGAGCTTTCTAGTATGATACCCTCATTCAAAACGGCGATGCTAATAAGAACACTGTCATTAGGAAAGACGAACGGGAGCAACTGCCGTGTTTAGTATTGTCTTTGAACATTTTGATCTGCATTGAGTAAAGTTGAAAGAAGTTAACTACCGTGGTGCCAATATTACGAGCGTTAGCGCCACAAGTCATTTTCTCCGGCGTTGCGTTTCCCCATGAATCCCACGGTGGCTCCTGGTTCAGCGGCCACATAATGAGCTATAGTTACTGACAATTTTGAAAGACGTATGCCAAGTTTTGATTACCGCTGAGAGAATAGCAATACGATTGCGTGAATGGGTAGACCGTTTGGATACAAAATAAACTGGAGTGGGCGTTGGTCACAGGACATTAGTGATTTTTAAAAGCATGGCACTGTGCCGCATATTCAATATCCGGACTAGTACTGCCCGTGAATAACTAGTACGCCGGGAAGTCCAAATAAAATCTCCGAAGATATATCTTGGAACTTCCACAACCCCTCTGACATTCAGTTAATATCAATAAAATGATCATAAACCTATTATTATTATTATACATTTGCAACAATCCATGTCTAATCTGATACAAGAATCTAAAAAAAAAAGAGAAGAAAACTGGCATATTGTCTGGAAAAGCAAAAACTATTTCTATACAGCTGTATCCAAGGAAGCTGTCGAACTGTATAGTATCGAGCAGCACTAAAAATGCGACGCTCCTTAGGAATGTTATGAAAGTATAGTTATCAAGAGTTTTTGACTTATTTTTTTCGAGAAACATTTGTAACGTCCAGTAAGGCGAAACCGAATACAAGCATTCATTTTGAGACCAATTACGTAAGTCTTTCTACACCTGTCCGCCCCCACCGTTACTCGGAAGAGCTGCGAAAGACCCTATTCGCCCAGCTCGCCCATGACCCGCTCGCTCTGCGCACGGTCATATAATCTATGGTTCTGCCTATCGGACAAGACAGAAGTGGACCTTTGCTTACACCTGTTCTTGTGTGAGCAAACAAATGTCACTCGGCAGCTGCGCAAACCAGGCACGGCCTGTCTCTCGCCGACACGGAAACCCTACTGGTTATTTAAGGGAAGGCAGGCACTGATTTGATGCCCGCGTGTACACCGTGGCTTGCATCGATCTGGTCGGCACGTACGTTCCCCGGATCCAGTAATTCTCTGCGGTGAGCTCTGGATGAAACGTGCAGCTCTCTTTTGACGCCGCCACACCCCTTTGGCCTGGACATGCGTCGTTTCCGACCGCTTCGGAATCGTAGCACGGTTGCCGCACAGAATCGTCGTTAGCCACTGCGAGAACGAACTATTGTTTATTGCCCGTAGGTTGTGGATAGCGTTGGTATTACTTCTTTCCTTTGTATTGACTTTCTAGGGGTGGGGATTTGGGGGGGGGGGGGGGGGGGTTGTGGCCTGATATTAAAGATAATAACAGTAGATGTTCACTCACGTCTGTTCCTTCTCCAATACACTTTTTCGTAAGAGCAAGAACGCGCGGGCTAGCTTTTTTTTTTTAGATTTGAAAGTTGTAAAGTACTTTTGTGAGACGACAGGCGTATAAATAAAAGCCATGACGACATGGACAGATCATGAAGCGGCTGTGTTCCCGTCGTTCAAGTTTTTCTTGCATGTCCATTATTTAGAAGTGTCGGAGCCTCTTTTGCACGCTTCCAAGAGCACGCAGAGGACAAAAAGGAATAGTTGAGCACTGGTCCTGCGCCACAGGGGCCGAAGATCAACGTGCCTTTGTTTGATTCTAAATTGGAGTAATGAAAATCGATTCAGGACTCAAATGTTAGGCTTAATGGTACTTCAGTAGCTTCATAATTTAATGGGGGTATTGCAATAAAAGTTCATCGTCCATTATTTATTGGCACAAAGCACGAAATGTTTTTAGTTAAGGAAGCCCAGTAACACTTTGGGTATCTCTTTCAGGGAATGAGCCTAGCAGGGTTCATGAAAAGACGGTGCTTCGCCATAATTTTTATTCTCGGTATTGTTCTTTGTTCGCCACCACAAGAAAGTGAGTATGCACATATCATATTCGTGACTCAGTTCAATTATCCGGACCTACACACTGTGTAAATGTTTATGCGGCAAGAGATTTTGCTTCTTCTCGAGGCGATTCGTATAACATGCAATTGTAATCCTGAGTTGTCGATCTGTATGAATACTAAACTTTTCCATAGCTATATAAATCAAGCATCTGTTTCACGTGCTTCAAGACGCTTCTTCTTTTACTGTCTCACAGTTAAAACATACGACCAATGTACTAATATTTAGGCCCTGTGCTGTTTTTGGAGACACAACAAAAATAAATAAATAAATATTATTATTATTATTATTATTATTATTATTATTATTATTACTATTGTTGTTCTAGTTGGCGGAGGCGTACCGATAGGTTCAGGAAGCGCGGGCATGTGGTAACTTAGTAAATCCAAGGAAATCCTCCATGCCCTCCCGCGCGGGCTCAGTTTTACGGTCAAGGTATCCATAAATGCGGCTAAAGCAAGCACTTCCCGATTGCCACAATTTTGTTTGACGGATTTATTTACAATTTTAACGAAAATATTTTATAATTTTGAGTAGACTTTGTGTACGTGAGTAACATGCGCCTGTGTACACACGGGCTTGTTACCCCCTCAAACGCAAAAGCACCGCAGATATACGCTAATATACGCATGCACACACGCACGCGGTATTACAGAAGCTTTTTGCCGACGATTGTTTACTTTATTCGGTAGTCACAAATGTGAATGAGCAAATTAAAATCAATCGTAGCCTTCAGGCTTTGAACATGTGGTGTGAAAAGTGGGACATGGAAATTAACTATACTAAATACACATTTACTCATATAACTAAAAAAAAGAGTGCACTTTGTTTTAGGTATAACATTTGAAATAACTTTTTGAACAATGTAAATAGTTTTAAATATTTAGGAGTGACCATAACCCATGATCTAAACTGGCGAAAACATGTGGAAAACGTGTGCTCTAAGGCTTCAAAGAAATTGTACTTCTTAAGGAAAAAATTGCACAACGCAACAAAGAACGTTAAGTTAATTGCCTACAAAACATTCGTGAGGTCAGTTCTAGAATATGCACCGGCTGTCTGGAGTCCACATCAGAAAGTCTTGAAGTCCAAATTAGAAAGAATTCAAAGATTAGCTGTGCGCTTCGTTTGTGCTAAATATAAATGGACAGATTCGGTTACATCAATGTTAGACTCATGCGACTTAGACCTACTGGTGACAAGGAGACAAAAACATCGACTGATATTGTTTTTTCAACTCATCCATGGACAAATTAAGATTAACAAGGGCAGCTATGTAAAACTACCATGTAAACGAAGTGACCGATTAAATCACAACTTAGCCATTGAGCCGTTCAATGCCCGTGTTGATGTTTTTCGATACTCATTTTTTCCTGATGTGATTGAATCCTGGAATACATTGCCTAGTTATATTGTTGACAGGGAAAATGTTCGTGAATTTGAGAGCCTACTTGATGTGTACTATTGTTGTGAAAGATGTTAGGTAATGTGTTTTGTTGTTTTTCCCTCTCTGTAATGACCCTGACAAGGGTTAACAGTATTTATAAATAAATAATAATAAATACATGCACAGAGGAATATGTACACACGTGTGTACACCCATAGTAACATGCATATGCATGAGAAGGCACATACATGTGCTCACATGCACACACATACGAATATAACACGCATGCACTCACGCGCACACACAAAGACCAGCTCAAACTACACGTGCACACTACAGAGGCTTACACTAACTTGTACCTGTATACCCACACGTGCACACACGCTCACACACATGAGCTGACCCGCCCGCGCGCACACACACACATATGAAAAGGAAAATGACATTGCTAAACTTAACTGGGAACATATATGTACCTACCAACTACAGCCGATCCACGAAATAAGTAGCATTTCTTTTTGCGGTCGATCGTTCGTTCACTGAGTCGTTCAAGTTGTTTCAGATGTCTCAACCGAAAATGAAGCGGAAGTCACAACTGTATTTTCTGGCCGAGAGAAGCGACAACTTTCCGAAATTATCTATACAATCAGCTCTGGAGCAAGATTATTAATCGGTAGGTACTCCGCAGCTCGTTTTGGACAGACTATATTGAGACACTCAAGTCTGGAGGACCATAGGGATTCAATTGATATACCCTAAAGTTATTTCATTACTGAAATAAAAAAAAAAACTTTACCAGATGTGTCTCAATACAGGAATACAAATATGCGAAATAATCCCTAATATACAATTGCAATACATTTGTGCTGCAATGCTCAGATATCCACACAACCTAGTTACTGTGGATATCTGATGATTTCACGAAGCCCCGTGATTTCATTAAAATAGCTAGACATTCAGGGTCTCAACATACAGTCCAAACTCTTGTTTTTAACTAGTTTGTAATATTGTGATGTAGCAAATTCTGAGGCGTTCTCGGCCATGGTGATCCACGATGTTATTTTCTTGACCATGACCGTTTGTAAACCGTTCGAGCGTTGTCACGCGTTGCATTTTCCATGAAGACCAGTCTAGCCTAGTTTAGAAAATAGAATAAGAAAATTTATAACGTCCGTAATCGACGTAGTGGTAACGGCAGATGAAGCTAGGCCACCTGACATCTGCATTCGATCCGTTGTAATGAACCATAGGAAACATTTTACTTGTCTCTATTGGTGCGCCCTAGTGCCACTAAATAAGCTACGCTTCAGAGTAACGACACTTCGCCATATTGTGTCTTAAAATCATGGTTGCCAGTTATCTGAATCTTTACCTGAAATCACAGGAAACACTTTTCCGCCCTGCACAAATGTTTAAACAGCTCGCTGCAGAGCAAAGCAATATTACACGACCTTTCTAACACCAAATCTAATGCTGTAGAAGTCACACTATTGAATCATGAAGGTCGGCAGTTGCGTCTGCTCTGCATACGAGCCAAAATGGCGGCGCCCACGGCAATGTTGGGGAACAGAGTGCCCATACTCTAAGCGCAGCTCATTTAGTGGCTCTAGTGCGCCCCACTCTTATCCTGTGCGGAGCGCAAGTTGGTCTGCTTCTTTTGCAGGGGTTGTGGTGACGTCAGAACGTAGAGCCCTGATTGACTCTGATTGAAGTATAACAGTTACACCTCAAAGCAGGCACGTAGCCAGGATTTTGTTTCGGGGGGGGGGGGGGGGGGGGCGGGGGGGAGTCCACCCATGACAAAATGCTGTATGAAGGGGAGGGGGGAGAGGAGGGTCCCAGCAAAATGGAAGATTTCAGGAGGGCGCCCGGACCCAGTGCCCACCCCCCCCCCCCCCCCTCCCCAGAGGCCAGATTCATAAAAAACCTCTTACCTACGACAACTTAGCTACGAAGTTCGTAAAGTTACGATCATCGTAAGATGAGGCGAGAACGGTATTCACAAACGCGTTCTTAAGTGAGAGGAGGAAAGTTACGACCTCTTACGGAGAAACGATGACTTCCGGTGCTGTTGCTATGGCAAAGGCGTCTTCGGCAAAACGAACAACCAATTAGAGAGCTAGGCATAGTTCGGAGCACGTGGATTTTTAATAACAAACACAGGCTAACCACTCATTGATAGACAGCTCTGTGTATGTCCTGTCCTGTCTGTGTGTAAATGTGTAATGTTCAAGCTGATTCTCATAAACACGGGCGACCTTTCCATCACCGCTTGTCTGGGGTTCGTGTCCGTGCAGTGGTATATCGACGCTAACACGATTTAAACGCTTCGTTGACTACTACAAACTCGATCGCTACGAAGTCAACACAACTGTCATCGTTGGTAAAAGCCCCGTGCCAGTCGTTTGCAAAGCGACGTAGAAGGAAACAAACCGCCGCGGCGTTTCTCGCGGCCTCAGAAATGCAGGAGTGAGCCGACGTTAAAAAATATACGTTTGAACTACGAGAGTGTCAGCAAGTCACGCAAATACCTGTTCACACTCGGAGCGGACGCGTGCGTTTGATCGAAGTGCAGGAGACTGCGTTTCGGTAAGCGCTTCGGGACCGATCTTCTACGATTGCAATTCGATACTGACGTGACACTCGGCAAAGAAAGGTTGGACCGGCATCACATAGCTCCCACAAACTGATACAGCTCGACAGTTAAAAATGGCATACTCATAACAAGGTGTACATACCGTGTTGCGAAGGTAATCCATACGGCGCTTCTTTGAGCTCCATATCACACAAAACAAGGAGATAGAATCGAGGAGTCCCTTTTCGACGACAGCGTTTGTCACCGCTGCCTCGGAAAACAAGGTGATCGAGATGATAAGGGGAATCGGTTGACCTCTGAAATTTAGTTCAGCTATCAAACTATTCATACGGGGAGGGTCCACAAGGGTCGCGCGGGCATATTCCATTCAGCAAGCCAGCCGGTCGTGGGCAGACGGTCTTGGCCAAGGACCGCCTGAGCAATGCTGCGCCGGAACGGGTCGGAGCGGTCGGAGTGCCTGCTAGGCCTATATATTCTGCCGAGCTCGCTTGGTCGGTGGGATCGTCGCCTTTGTTGCCTTTTCCGGGTGTCTGTGGATCCAGCGTTCATGTTCGTCGTAGTCGGTTTCAAGTACTTCTTCATTTTTTTCTTTCTGCTTGATGTCGGGACGCGCAAGAAAAGCAGGTAGAAAAATAAATGTCCGTTGGGTCGTCGCGACCGAGCAACTGACTGACGTTGTCGGCCATGTTAGTTTGATCGTAGAAAGTGCGTAAGACAGCTTCGGAGCTGTCGTAGGATTTTGTCGTAACCTGCGTAAAAGTTACGACAATTTCGCTTCGAGAATACGGATTTTCTCTCAAATTTGTCGTACGCATTTTTTTCGTCGTAAGTTCGCTTTGAGAATCAGGCCTCAGAGTGCCCATACTCTAAGCGCAGCTCATTTAGTGGCTCTAGTGCGCCCCACTCTTATCCTGTGCGGAGCGCAAGTTGGTCTGCTTCTTTTGCAGGGGTTGTGGTGACGTCAGAACGTAGAGCCCTGATTGACTCTGATTGAAGTATAACAGTTACACCTCAAAGCAGGCACGGATATAGCCAGGATTTTGTTTCGGGGGAGGGGGGGGGGGGGGGGCGGGGGGGAGTTTACCCATGACAAAATGCTGTATGAAGGGGAGGGGGGAGAGGAGGTCCCAGCAAAATGGAAGATTTCGGGAGGGCGCCCGGACCCAGTGCCCACCCCCCCCCTCCCCCCTGGCTACGTGTCATGCCTGCTCAAAGCAAGCTGCCTCAAGGTTTACCCACTATTCTACAATCAGAGTCAATCAGAGCTCGGCGTTCTGATGTCGCCGCAACCCCCTGCGCAAGGAGCAGACGAATTTGCGCTCCGCATAGATACGATAGAAAATATCGAAAACTGAAAGCATGCAAAATCTGTTTCTTTTTTACCTACACCTTTTTTGATAATCGCGTGTAAACACACGTTGTACGACTGAACACGGATGAACCTCGTGCGCAATTAACACAACTTAAATATGGTGACGACGCATTACCACGATACGTTAATGATCCCCATAATTACTGACAGCCTATTAATCGGCGAACGTGACGAGTACCGTACACCTTATTGTCACTCCGCGGCTATTGAGATTGCGAGATTAGCCTGTAAGACCGCAGGAGAACGAATCACAAAGCAAGACGCGTGAACAACCAAAGCCGCGCTCCACGTTTTTCTCAAGCCATCACTGACTAAGGTAGAACTCGTTCTTGCAGACAGATGTATACCAAACTCGGCATGCGTGCGTAGATTGCTTTTTGGATGATCTCTTACGCGTTCGAGAGATTGTGACACAAAACGGAAAAAAAAAGTTAAGAAGGTTTCGGCTTAAATAAACGTGTAGCAGCAGGAAACCCTGAACATAAGTGCCATCACGTAAATTACCGTGCAAGGTATCTGACGGCCCAATAAAGTTTGTTTCACACTCTCTTTACCGCCCCTCTCCAAGAACGAGCCCTTTCTTGCATTGTTATATTCACAATCCGGATTTCTAAGAAGCCGTTCTCCGCCCATTAAGTATTCGCTGCTTAGCAAGTGATAATTAAGCTGCGGGTCTAACTTTCTAACTCATATATATATATATATATATATATATATATATATATATATATATATATATATATATATATATATATATATTAGTAGCGCTTTTTCCAGCCGCGTATTTTAGAGCCAAGGAACCAGAAAAGCGTAATGATACTTTTTTATTTTTTAATTAAATATTTTTAGTCAAAGAGTTTTTCGTAAAGTGGATGCCATTGTTGCGGCAAAATGATGCCTAAAATTATGCCGTCTGAAAAGGTCGAGTTCAAGTGAACCAAAAGGAAAAGCGGGCAATCCTCCCGCCCTGTTTCCTTGAAGGAAGTCCGCGCAGGAAGGAAAAAAAATCACGGCTTCCGAGTGAAGCTGTCTGACGACTTTATCGTCTGGTGGACCAATCCAGTTCCGCAAACCTATCACGTGGCTCTTGTGCCAGCACAATGCAGCGCCCCTCCCGAGGATCACGTGACACTCACAGGGTTCTGGATTGGCTTCGGCTTAGGCTTCGGTGGCTGGTAGCGTCCCCCGCGGTCCATCGTAAGGTGGAACCGAGTGAGAAAGGGGTTCCTCAGAGAGCAATCTTCCTTTGTCGTAGGGATCAATGGTGAAAGGTTCTCTCCACCACACCACCTTATATTTACACTCAGAGCCTTTTCACTGTGTCCGAGTACTCCCACAGAAAATAACAAAATTCGTCGTAGTGTTTATTTTTATTTTTTTGTTTGTTTGTTTGTTTTGTTTGCTCTACCGCATAGGCGTCAGTTCGATAAATAAGTTTTTCGCAAAATAGCGATCACGCTTTTGTGAGTTTTCTGCATTTCGACAGGGCAAAGGGGCCATTTCTCGAGCGTTACGTTTTGTTTTTCGTACAACTTTACTTTTTTTTTTTTTTTTTTTTACAAGGCATAAACACCACAAGTATTCAACATGAGAGCCGGCGGTGTTGAATCGAGAAAGCATGTTTGGCAGGAGTTGGAATATTCTCTTTTAGTTTTCCGGTTTGCCGAAAGATTAGCTCGTATTTACGAAGCCTATAGACTGGTGTTGCTGTAAATTGGCACACGTTTTATTATATATATATATATATACATACATATATATATATATATGTATGTGTGTGTGTGTACAATGCTGTATGCTGCGTTTCAATTTATGGTAACGCTTCACTGGTAGGCGGGACGACAAATTCTCACGTTCTGAAGAACGCCTAAAATATATTTGGGGACAAATATCGTGCTGACAGCAACAATAAAAGCGCCAGGAAAAAACAACAAGTATAAATACAAGCAGCGCGCTACTACAACCAAACTTCGAAGTGCAAATACCATAAACCTAAATGCCTTCTTATCACGATGATGACGCAATGAATTCAAAATCCTCGTGTTACAAATGCACTTCTCAGACAAGGACTTGGAATACATAGCGTCATCATTGCGATAAGAAATGTTTCTGATTTTTGTTTTGCACATTAAAGTTTAGTTGTTAAGAGCGCACCGTTTGTCTTGTTTCTAGACCTTGTTATCTGGAGTGTGTTATTCCTGCAATGCAGCGACTGGTCGTTCTTTTCATTCGAGCGTATTGACAGACGCCGGAATGCTGGACATGGAATCGTGGTGTCCATCTCTGATGTCACTTTGCATGTTTACGACCGCAGGTGCCGGTGTCGGCTTCATACAGTCTATCGGACGGTTAGGGATACAGGTTATCGGTGAATCGGACGGTGGGCTTTTGGGATTCCTCGGGTCTCTCTTCGCCGGACTAAACGCCAGCCTTGGTAAGTTGCGGCCGCCGTTCCTCTTCGGCCGTTAATTTAGAACGGCATGTCACAGTTTACTTTGCGAGCATTCCTCGGAGCAGAAGAACCGTTCCACGTCCAGGCGTTGAAAAAGCCCAAGGGGATTTTTTGCGTGACGTCAATATGCAATAGAGTTGCTCCGTGCTCTTTAAAATGCAATTGTGTCTTTTTTTTTTGTGGCAAACTGGACGTTGGGACAAAAATGCTGCAGGCGACGATCACTGTCGGCACGAATTCAACGGTAGAGTGAGGCGGTATCGCGCAGCTACCGCTCGAAAACATTCTGTAACAGGTTTTGAAAATCGCCAACATTTATCCAGGTTTCAACATATGTTTGCTCTCACAGTCACGTGTCGCACAACCGGGGAGTTATTTCGAAATATCGGTTGCATTTTCCAGTTTGAATATTTTGTTTTTAGTGAAAGGAATCTAGGTAAATGTATAAATCCCCCCCATAAAAAAAAAGAAGAAAATTCTTTAGTCATGTAAGTTGTTTGGCGAGGATAAAATAAAACAAATATGCAGGGTGTTCTATTTTAGCCATAACTGATTTTTCTAAAGCAGTGAAGGACACACTAATGCGGTACTGTAGAGATGAGTTATATTGTCAGGTGGACATTACATAGGTTAGTCGTCATGATACGACAAGTATAATTAACTAAAATTTGCTAATTAACATTTTAAGTAGTTAAAATAAACATATGGCTTCATTAAGAAACCTGCTAAGCGTAAAAAAAAAAAATTGTAAAAAAATGGTGCGCGTGCTGTATTTTTTGTTTCCCGAAAATGTATTTAAATTCAAAGCGCTTGCGCACTTCTTTCGTTTCTTATCAAAGTGGTAATTTGAGCGCACTATCGCGCATCTCAGTAGCTCAAACTCTTTCTATAATTTACTGATATACAGATGCACCTATATACTGAGAGACGTTCCATATTTAATGACAACATTCCTTCTTCATTTCGCTGTGCTTTTTTAATTTGTGAATGAGATTCACCAAATCGCACGACCTTCCAAGTAGCTATTATTCTGGAAGCTCAGGATAGTGGAAAACATCCAACAGTATTTAATACTTCTTTAATTATTTGATTTAAACCACTCAAGCGCTTTTCATCAGCTATAGATGCGATCTTACTTATTTTAAACGTTTCTACCCCGCAGAACGAGCAAACCTGGGGTAAATGTCACATTCCATGTTATTGCAACTCAAACTATAAACATATTCATAAACCCCCTAACCCCCTCCCCCACCCCCTTCCCATAGAAAACACAAACAAACAACAACACCAACACTGTCGCAAAAAAATTGTTTATTTATGAAAAAAGCAACAAAATATACCGCTTAGGCACATGAACTTCATTGCGCTTTGATGCGTCAAAGCTATATAGACGTTTAGTGGATTTTGGTGGTGTAGTACGAACACAATAATTTAAGCTACAACACACATATGGAAATTGAAGATAGACAAAAATGATTCTGGAGCGAGAGAATGTATGGTGTTAACAAAGGCCAACTTTAGATTGGACTGCAATTATTCGATTTCCTAATTAGCCTTTTTTATTTCTTGTTTTAATTTTAATACCCTTAAAGTAGCTTTGTCCAATCTCCCAGCCTGTCAGGATTTGGCCTGTGTTCTTTGCTTCGTGCGAAACATTATTTCAATCAGCTTTAATTGATAAAACAATCGAAAATGTTAAAATACAAAGACTCAGCTTCCTTTCACATCTAATCTACGAGTCCAACGTGAAGACATCTTGCGCTGCTCGAGCATTTTTGGCTGCCGTGTGCTGTTTAAAACACAATTAAATATTCAATCCAAAAAGTACGCTTTCTAAGATTACACGTGACCTCAAATTCAAAACGTTTTGTACAATAGAACTGAAAAACAAAAACCAAGAACTACAAAACCTGGCAACCGGCTTAATTAGAGGGAACTGTGCCTTTTTTACGGTTGTCTTTTTCTTGAACAGGTACTGATTGAAAGTGCTTTAAGATTTCATAATATATTTTATTGATGCTTATGAATGAGATACTTAAGAATTCTTTCTTGCAGATTTGGTTCGAAACATTCTCCTAGCAGTTCTAGGAACAAAGGACATCCTGCTGGGAACTCCAACGAAAGACGAACCGGCTGGCAATGCCGACGCGTCTCACGTTGAATAGGTATTTAAGGAAAAAAGTAGCGATTAAACGGCGTTGTGCAGTATTATCGGCCGCGCGAAAATACTTTCTCTTTTTATTTGTTTTTGGGGAACGAAGCTCTTTCCGTTACTGTTGAAAAACTGCGGCGTCTATTTTCCCGGAAAGCATTTAGGACGGTCAATTGCTAAGATCTACGCACGATCAACGAATGGAATTCTCTCCCCTCCAATACTATATCGTCAAGTAATTTTGCATCATCACTTGTAAAGCACTTTAAAAATGCTAATCTGTTTTTCGGTGCGTGCTTCAGCTCTGTTTGGAGGACATTTAACAGTCGTTACGAAAGTGACTGTTTAATGTCACTACCGTAACTGCTTGGACGACATTAGGAAGTTTTAGGGAACCGTCTTTGCACATCCGATACGGTACGATTGGCATTCCGGTACGAACTGTGCATATGCGAGTCTTCTGCGGCAGCGCATGCGCAGTTCATACAGGAGGGTCCATAGTACGGTATCGGATGTGCAAAAACTGTTCCCTAAAGCTCTCTATTAAATTGTCTGGACAACATTAGACAGTGTATGATTATAATGCAATTAAATGCAAAGATGCAAGCGAGCTGGACAGGAATGACGAAAATAATCCCTGGAGAAGGGGAACAAGAGGGACAAAGGACAAACACAAATCTCCAAACACAGCTAGGTGACTGGTGCGCGACCGAAAAAATCCGCCTGGTCCGGGTATCGAACCAGAGACCTCTCCATTTCTAGTGGAGCGCTCTACCAACTGAGCTAACGAGGGATCATTAAAGGGAACGGGTTTCATTAGCTGCCACCAGTCTAATACCAACAAGCGTGAAAAACTTGCAATTTTAAGGTTATGATTATAACGCAATTAAATGCAAAGGTGCAAGCGAGCTTTGTCCTTCTGGTTCCTCTTCTCCAGGGATTATTTTCGTCATTAAATAGTTGTTACCGTAGTGAATAACCTTTACTTTTATCAGTTTTGAGGAAACTAAATTCGTGTGTCACCTGACCATGGGAAAGAACGGCAAGTAAGGAGGAAAGGGGTGGAAGGGCACTGAAGGAAGCGGAAAGGAATGAGGAGGAGAAAGGGCGTGGGAGATAGGAAGGAGGAAGAGGGAGGGGAAGGGAGGCTGATGAGGAGAGGGAGGAAAAGGAAGGCAGACGGGGAGGGGACACCGTAAAAGGATGAGGAGAAAGATTGGGAGAGGGGAAGAGGGAAGGGATTAGAGAGTAACGGGGAGAGGAAAATGGTTTTACATAAAGTATATTTACCTGCTAAATTTACCGGGAAAACAGTATTGGTAGGGAGTTTTCGTAGACCGCGTTTCCCCCTCCGCTAAGCCCTCCGCAACGAAGAAGCTACTGCGCCTGCGCGCCGATGGCCTTGGCTGTAGAGTTCCGGGTATCGTAGCGGGTTGTGGAGAGCCTTTGCGGGACGACGAAAACGATCTACAAAAACTCCCTGGTGTCTAGATCACGCAGCGTCAATTTTCCCGCCATATCTAGCGGGGAAACTGGATTGCTGTACAGGTCACGCACGCTCAATTTTTCCCAAGGTGAAGTAGGTCAGATGACGTCACGTGACGTAACTTTCCCCGTTAAATTCAGCGGAAAATGCACGGACGGACGGGTGGTATTTTGGGAGTGGGGGCTCCGTCAAAAAGAATTTCATGCCTTAAAAACAGCCTGCGCTTTGGCACTGAGAGTGACCTTTCATCGTAGTAACTTTTTCTTTAAGGTCTATACACCTTCAACCTCGTCATTCGGCGACCTCCCTGCATCGATCGCGGTGATTGGCTCCCCCAAGGGCTTTACTGGAAAGTAGAAGCACCCTATTTTTGAGAGCATAATGCTCGTGAGTCTAGTGCACGGTGAAAGGTTATAGTATATACGTGGGGACACAGCATTGCGAATGCTGTGACGCGATCGACCAGATAAAGTTTCATTGGCGCGCGCCCGAGTAAACCCAGCCGACAAGGTCTCCGTTGTCCGAGAAGCGCCACCGTAGGAAAAAAAAAAAGTTTCGTAACTATAACACTTGGGCACGCGCTCTTTCCGCTCGGTGCGTCTGCTCTGACCTTGGAAGACGCGAGCTTGAACACCGCGCCAAAGATATCCCCGCTTCAACGCGTTCCTAAAATTGCCATTGACGCCGTTGAGGCATAAACTTAAGGACGATGACGAAGCGGTGTCTAAGTAACACGCGTAGCGCAAGTGCCACGTTCTACATATTGCAGCGGAACCAGAAACCAACTTTAAGATCGAGCATATATTTTATAGAGAAGCATGGGAAACCGGGCCGCGACAAGCTGCCATATAGCCGCACGTGGAGGTGTCATCTGGTGGCGCCTCTTGGAACCAAAAAGAGGGAAGGACATTATCTAGCAGCCGGGACGTCCGCGGTGTCCACACCTGTATATATCTTACACCGCGATCTGCAGTCAGTCAGGAGAGGCACGGTCACAAGCGCATGACCCTATTTCATATGAATGCGGGAACAGGAGTGGGAGGCAATTGGCTGGCGGAGTAATATCAAGCCTTGAAGTGGCAGCGTTACTAAACTTTTGATTCGCCACCGGCTAGGGTTTGTTTTATTTATCTAAATAGGTTTTGCGTCAGAACAGCAAGGCCAAATTGATAATCAGTCGTGAGGGCGCCTTCTTGACATTATCAGTGGGATCAGGGGAGGCTGAAGGTACCCCGCGAACAATATGAGTTGAATCACCCAATCTGGCCTTTTTATTTGTCTGCAGTCCCCACAAGTTGTATCAATTCCCAATTCGTCAAATGAATGGATGTATGGGACCTCAACTTCGCATTCCACTGCTAGTGTGGACCACAGCTCTTTCAAGAACTGGCAGGGGCGCAAGAGAAACATGAATGACTGTTTGAGCTCATATTGTCCGCGATAGTGCACGTAAAGACCGACAGTTTATAATTTTTCTCTTTCATATTCGTTTGAGAAGTTGCAGTATGACGAAGACCCATCTTATACAGTTGTCTCCAGTGAAACAACTTTTTAAAGGACTAACCGGCTTCTAGGAACATTTTTATACATGACCATGCAGAAGAGCCTTATAACGTAATATAGGTCCCCGCTTGAACAGCAGCACGCTATGCTCCGTTACTACATAAACGATAGATGTTCTTTGTCAGCAATAAGTGCCTGAAAGGTGTTGTGGGGATTGATATTCTCTTCATACCATCTTTATTGTTTACCCGCACATTCACATGACGAGGGCAGTTCGCGGGAATATTTATCTTTGGAGTACGAAGTTCATAGAGTACGAACGAAGGACAAAGCATTTGTGAAGACGATTCTCTTAAATTTAACGATACTATAAACGTTCATATAATTTCAGTTTTTTGTTTGCCTGGGTCTATGCTATTGTATGTTGGATATATAGGAACACATTTATATGCGGTGTATACACCTCACACAAATGCGTCTACTATAAAGCGTCACTTTGACGTGGCGGAATGCATGTGCCAATTCCGGCTGCTCTTAACTTACCATTCCCGTATTCTTGTTGCTTGTAGCTCTCTATCATGGCTGTGCACATAGTATCCGAAACAACCAACTTAAAGGGCGATTCCCCTCAAAGCTCGTAGTTACACCAACTACTGATAAAGTTTGAATCGGAGGAATGTGGTATTATCAGAACCAACATATACGTCAAAGTAGCCCATGGATCACTATTAAAACCGGCATATAAACACTATACCGCCATTATCTCAGCCGGCAGTCACCGGGTTCATTGATTTCCAAAGGCAGAAAAGGCAAGGTTCCGCCATTTTCGTGGAGCAGGTGCTCTTCAGTTGACGGCTGCGGCTGGTTCTCAGATGAGCGCACGCAGAGAAACAAGTGGCCGTTATTCGTGGGACTAGGGCCATCGCATGCACCGTGGCACTAAGGTGCCCGGAACGAGTTTTTGAGTTGTGTGTTTACACTTTACAGCTACCTTGCTATTGGTCCCTAGCTTTCCGCCTCTTGTAGCCAAAGTGTCACATTTAGCCCGCTGGCCACAATTCTGCCGTTGTCAGAACATCTGAAGTGGCTGCGGCAAACGCCTTTTTTGCTGCAGGTGGCTCTGCAGCTAACCGGTCCACGGAAGCTACCAGCACCCACGCCGCGACAACAAGGACCCTTGATCCTGCTCTCCGCTTCGGCCGGCACTTGCACAGGCAACCGCCAGTATTAAGAATAGAAATAATACTAGGTAACTGAAAAAAAAATACTATCTGATTCAAGTACTCCAAGTAAGATAAAACCTTATAACCAAGAACTACAGTAAGAAGGTCAATGAACGATAGGTATTGATCTAAAGATCGGTAGAGAGTTGAGGATCTCCGCGATGCTCGAAACCTTTGCTCTAGATATTTGTGCATTGCGTCTCCCTATGGTGTTTTTCTGCCTCTGGTCCGGAAACTCTTAAGAAATTCAACTAGGTCGGCATATGTTGGAAATGTCTGCAAGGAGCGCACTAGTACACTCGAAACAGACGAAAAATAAAATGAGGCAATTAAGTTGTCAATTGCTGTTGAAGCTTGATATATGACAGTAATAACGCTCTTTCCTCAATCATTTCGGCAGCCAGCTTTGTTGTTACTTTTAATAATGATAAGTTTCGACAATAAGCGGCCCAACCAACACTGTTGTGATCGACGGTTGGTCCGCAATTTCTGCGATGCGGCTAAGCTCGTAAAGGCAGTCCTGATAAAACGTCCCGATTGGTGTGGGGACGTAATTTCTAGAACCGCAGTCATCCTATACGTTATCGCAGCCGTGCAGCCAATTTCCTAGAAATGTAATCTCATTCTCGGGGTGTAGCTGTCAGCCGCCCCTACGAAGGGAAGGTCAGACAGGATTACTCGGTCGAGGAACGCGGCGACGAGACGGCGAAATCAGGAAATGTCGGCAAGACGGTGCTTATAATGGCTGTACCCCTGTGCGCGAGAGCGTGATGAGGCAGACACCAAAGGGTACGAACCGCC